GTGTAGGTGGAGCAGAGTCCCTCACAGAGCCACATGGGACACACCTGGAGCCTAAGGAAGGGCCAAATCATGGACCCATTTTGCAGAGCATTAGTTACCTTTGACTTTCCAGTGGCGGTGGTCAGGAGAAGGGTAGTTCTATAGATCTAAATTAAAAGATCAGCTTTTGTCATCCATCAAGTTTGAAAGCCTTTACCAGTTCATTTTTTTGTTGTTCAAGAAGGCTCAGAAGTCTTGAGCTCGTGGGTCACTGGTTCTAGACTATGGCAGCCAGTGGAAGCGTCAACACCAGCACCACAAATCTCAGCCCATGTAACAGTAGGTGAAGTCTCCTGAACAGTAAGAGGGGGGAAATCCATAGGAGACTGAAACCTTTTCTTCCTTGGGCCAAGAGGAAGTCTCCATCCGCAGCATCTGGAATATTTCTAACATGCAACCCAAACATAATAAAGGTGTGAAGGCTAAAAATGGGAAACACCTACCACAGCTCCAAAAGCCAAAGCAAGCAGAAAAGAACTCAGAAGTTACGGCTTCAAACAGCTTGTTCCTCAGCCCTTTTCATATTTCACTGGCATCCTCACAGACACTGGCCCATATACATAGCAAACCCCAAATGGGTTTTAAAACTAACCTAGAAAAGAAAAACAAAAGTCTTAGGGATCAGAGGCAGCTGCCTGGCCCTAGATTTTGTACTACCTCAATATGTTTTGCTTTTCTTGTTGTTTTTTTCTGTATTTGTTTGATTTGGGAAGGGAGTTGGTTTTTGTTTCATCCTTTCCTATTCTTTTGTCTAACTTTTCCAAACTACCAAACAAAAAGTCAGATCATCACTTTTGTTTTATTATATAGACCACTGAGAAATTCTATAAAAATTATTATTTTTTTTTATCTTCTTATTTTAATGCTAAAAGAGAAAATGGCCAGAATTAATGTTGTCTGTGATGTGATTTTTCCAGCAGCATCATAATGGTCAGGGAGAGTATTAGACTGCTGCTTGATTAAATATCTCAAATTTAGTGTTATTCATTATTTTATGAGAAAATCAATAAATTGATTCTGAGAAAATCAACAGAATGAAAAGAAATGGATTCTGTCTACTATTCTCTCAACATTTCTATCGGTAACCTCTTTACTACATTTACATCTAGAAAAAAGAAATGAAGTCGAAGTTAAGGCTATTGCATTAATCTAGAACAGTAGAAAGATGATGCTTGTGGGTTTGTCTACTTACTTGAGTAAAAAACTGAAGTGAGATCTTTTTGACATCCATGTACAAGCCACATAAAATCTATCCATGTGCTGGTTGTTGCCAAGAATTGAATGCATTCAGAAGAAAAAAGTAATTTCTCACAGAAAGGCTGACAGTGCAGCATCAAACCAGTTTTCTGTCCCCACCTGTTCATATCTGCAGACATGTGCACGGATATATCTTGCTGCTCATACATATTATTAGAGACCCTGGCTACAGTGCAGTCAGTTTGTCTAAAAATGATTTCTCAAATATAATTCAGGTACTGGGTAGATCATTTTTTGCATTCCCCATTTAACTTCAAGTTCAAAGATTACTGAGCACACAAGCCTCTGAAAATAAGTCATCATGTTTACCTCACTAAATTTATTTCACTAGCAAAAATGGCAGCCAGATTGCATTTGGCTGCAGGTGGGGAAGTAGGAAGCTTTCTTCAACTTGATTTCATTTGGCTAAACTAAAAGAAATCGTGCAGATTCCCCTAACTTTGAACTCTGTATGGAGCTGTGAAAATCATGATTTGCTTTAACAAGTCCTTGCTCTTGGCCTCAAACTTTTTTTGGTGCACACTGTTATCTCAAACCAGCAAGTACTGAGCTCTGTGGGACTGATCCAGAAAAGCATTCATGTAAATGTTTGATTTTGGTCCTGTTGAGGGCCAGTTCCTGAAAACATAAAGCTAATCACACATTCAACTATTTTATTGAATCGAGAACAGGGCATGAGGTCTTGGAGATGGACGTGTCCAGTCCATGCTGTGCTGACAAACATCCACACCTGGCTATGGGGCCGGCTTCGCTTACAGGCTGCATGTTCCGCGTGGATATTTTAGTACAGGTTAGGGACCAGTACTGGGGTGGGGAGGGGGTATTATGTGTAAAAAGGTCAGAAGTTTGCCTGCTTGCTCAAACCGTCAAGATCTGGTCTTAATCTATGAAAAAACACCAAAACACCCTTCTTGGAGAAAAAAAAAAAGGTATGTTGTATTTTTCCTGACTGCTGTTTTCCCTGGTGGCAAGTTTCTCATTCAAAATTATATTCACAGTTTTGTTTATAGGACTTTACTGAAGGATTTGCATGGGTTAGCGAGGGGAGTAAATACTCCCATATGCAGAAGCACAGAACCCATTAGAGCATATGAGGCTCTGGTGGTTCCCCTCCCAGCTGCTACAAAGTTTATTTGCAGGCTGCAGCCTGGAAAAGGGGGCTGTGGCCCATCTGTACCCCGTATGTGGGAATTATTTTCCAGCATAGCCACAGGAGAGTGCGTCCAGCAGACCGTCCCGTAACCTCCTCTCAGATCCCCCTCCACACTGACCTAATTGGAGCCAGAGCAGACGCCACCGAGCACCGCAGTGTCATGGGGTGGGGGGGTCAGGGGGCTTGGCTGCGCTGCTGATCCTCCAAGGTCCTCCGCCGTTCCCTCCCTCCCCGACATAACCATGAGGTTAAATGGCATCGCAAACCTTGTGGGGGCCCCTCTGTATAGGGCGAGCTTCACCCCTAGAGCAAAGCAAGCATCACGTCACGCTGGATGGTGGGGCACGCGCGGGAGATCAACGTGGGCAGCGCCGTATCTCTGCGCCACATCTTCTGGGTCTGAGCCTTTTCTCTCTTCAGTGGCAAAGCTCCTGCTCACTGGGCAATGGCGTGGGCATCAGGGGGATGTTGTAAGCAAGCACCTTGGGAGGGAAAATCAAAGGGCAATATTAAAACCAAGTCAGGGAAATGAGATGCTATGGCTTAAATTAGATCTCGCTCCTATATTGTCTTTTGCACAGGAGGAAAAAGTTAGTTTCTTTTTATATTTTGGGCCTGCCTGGAAGATGTTGGGAAGGGCTGTCTTAGAGTGGTGAGGGCAAAGGCATCTTCTATTTTAAACCTTTGTTAAAAGGAAAGGGTCAAGAGTATGAGGATAAGAAAAAGGAGAGATGAACATCAGTAAACTTAACTGCAATCAAAGGTATTTGTGAAGGAGTTTGTCCTGAGAAGGCAAGCACTAAAATTCTGGGGGCTCTTTACTGTAACACAGATATGAGAATAAGTATTTAAAAGGGCAGTAATTCTGTCACTTAAGTGAATAATTAAACTAATGAAGGACAATACTTTAAAACAAATGATTATATATGAATTACATGCAGGACAAATGTCAGTGGGCAACCTAACTCTACCTTCAAAAGTTATCAGACATTTTAGCAGTTTTATAAATAAAAATCCACTTTCATGTGTATCTGTCTGTGGTTCAGCTGAGTATCTGGCCCCCAAGGCCATCTCTGCCCAAAAGGCACAGTCACATTTAAAGTAAGCAGTAATCTCGGGATCAAAAATAACTGCCACATGTACAAGAAGAGGAGAGAGTGATGGCCACACTTCATTGTTTTAAGGCTCAGATTTGTTTTGTTAACACTAACTTCCTTAAGGTCTCTTCTTTTTTTAATTGAGAATTCTTTGTTCTTTTTCATATAAATTAAATTTTCTCTCAAGAAAAAGTTCATTTTTGTCCACTAATTAATTTTAGTAAAATTAATAGTATGTAGAACCATATTAAATTGTTGAAAGTGTTTTGCTTTCCTTAAATAAACATAGAGATGCTGAGGTCCAGTTCATGGCTGTGGGAACTGCTGCCATGGCCCCATGTTCCACATTTTACCCACAGCAATTTCCAGGGAGGGCTAAGCCCCTCTCCCACTGCTGTCTTCTCATTTCAGCATTCTAAGGAGAGCTCTGCAGACATCCATTTAAAACTCCTAGATCTGGACATTTGGATGTGGTAGCTGCTGGGGACGTTGGCCCCCGTTTCAGGCTGCCCCGGGAAGGCTGGTGGCTGTGCAGAGAGGAGCGGGGCTTTCTGGCGTGCTGGTGGTTCTTGCTGGGGAACCCACCTCACTCTTCCTCTCCTACCTGCAGCTCGATGGCTTCCTTGCCACCCTCAGCTCCTCGGTCCTGCCTTGCCCATTTTCCTCACCACTTTAAAGGAGAAAATAGTGTATTTATTAAGGACTTGTATTTCTCAAGAACAGATGAAAAGGGTATGGTTTACCTCAGAATCTGGGAGTTTTACCTGTAAATAACCATCCATAATACTGGTTCACTTTGCTGTAACCCAGGTCTAGTCCTTCTCTAGTCTTCAGAGGGAAATCCTTCTTCACTCTGGTATTAGACACTACCTTATTGGTTTCTTTTCCATGGCTATTAGTATTGAATCAAACTTTTGTTTCTGAGGTTGAGAGAGAGGAAAGATTGTTTTAGTTTTGGCTGTAATTATGTATTTTCTTTCAAGGCACTGACACAAACATTTATTTGCTCAAGGATCACCAGAGAAGTCGTTGAAAAGCACCTAAAGATTTTAATTGAAATTTGATTAACATTCATGTTCAAGAATTCAGATGATCCTTTAATCAGAACAAGTAAATCCTTAAAACGGTGAATTTAAAATATAAGAAAAAGCTTTCTTGTGGTATTTACCAAAATTTTTGGTCAGGGCAAAAATTCCAGGGAAACTGACTTCCTCTTGTAATTTTACCACTTCTATATTAAATTTAGGAACTAAAAGTGAAAGAAACAACTTAAACCTTTTGGCTTTTAATTCAAAATGTTCCAAAACTAATTTGCCTTTCTATTCAGTGTAGAAGAAACTGCTACCGAGGTCTAGCATCAACCCCAACTAGCTATCTTGTGTGACAGTTACAAATTTGTGTTCCTAGGATTCCACCTCAGGTAAATACTTGCTAAGCATATACATTTTTTGTAGTGATGATGGAGTCAAAATGACTGCTTTGCATCTGCTGTATGTGTCTTGGAGCTGGATTTTTCTGTGAAGTCTGTGGAAGCTTGTTGCCATGTTAAATGCCCAGCTTTCATTAAATCCACACCTGAAGGGTAAGTAAATTAATCCTGAATTTCACACTTGAAGGTATGTGTGCTTTTCATGGATTTATGCCAACTAGACTCTAGATTTAAAGAGACACTGTGATAACCTTAACCATGCTGTGGCTAGATTAAATCTCAAAGATCTTGTTCCTAGGGGCACTACTCTTTGAAGTGGCACCACTGACACTTTTAGCTACTGTAGATAATTGTGAGGTACAAAATGATAAAGTAAATATGCATAAAATTCTAACAGCATATAAGCATCACCAAACTGGATTATATTCTTGTGTTCCAAGCATTTGTTTGCTCAATTTGAGTTTTCTTTTCTTTCGGCTCTTTTTTTTTTTTTTTTCTTCTTGTCAATGAACCTGCCCTGAAGAAACATAGAAGCAGTGTTTGCCAACTACAGTAGAAAATGTCTGACAGCTCAGATGTATATATTTACTATGAATTGAACTTGCAGCTCTTAACTAATACTGTGTGTTTAGCTTGTTTACTCACCAAAGTAGTTGGAGGAATATCTGTGCATTTTCCACATTTCCAGTGTGCTGCTTTGTTTGCTGATGATTTATTAATGATACTTGTGATTTATTACTGTCACTTTATTAGATTATGTGCAAATCAGCGACAAAGCACTATGTGGATCATGCCTTGTTAGTCATAAAAGCATTCAAGAAGCCATGAAAATCAGTTAAGCTTGAACCTATTGAATGAAAGAGCATAGTGCTGTCTATTGATCAGTAGCCTTTAGATATGTAATGAATAGTAGTACTTTGGACACTGTCAGATAGTGTTCTCCTTTGGATCTGATAAATTACACTCTTTTGTATTAGTGGTTCGAGATTTGACATAAAACACTCTGGTACTAGTATTTCTTTCAGCTCTAGTACTGTGGTGAACTTACATGTCCAAGGCATATAAATGTTGGAAAGCCTGAGATTTTCAATTCCAACACAGTTTTAGCCATTGAATTAACACTGATCTAACTTTCATATATTACAGAAGATTGAGGGCTGGCCTGCAAATAGTTTGCAGAATATATTTATAGCCTATGTGTATGATATACACAGTCTCTCTCTCATATGCATAACATAGACAGATTTGGACTGTTGGAGCTCTCTAATTTCTTTATTAGTACAGATTATGTTCTGAATTTCTTATTGAACAAGGAATGTTACAATATGTAAGATTAGGTCCTTATTTGTTGTTGGCTTGAAGAGTACTTTGTTTCTATTTATAATATCAGGGCATGATTTCCTGCTTTGCAGTTTGTACAGCCATTCACACAAAAACAGCTGGGTTGTAGGTAAAACATTACTATTTTAATTGGATAAAGCTGAAGGCAGAGCTTGTGGTGCATCAGGCCCCAAGTCTGACATCTGTGTCATTCTCTGAAGGATATCCCAATTAATGCTAAAAGCCAAATGCTTCCGAGGAACATGTGTTCACTAGGATGTTCCTCCATGCCAGGGAGTCACTTTCTCCCTATCCACTGCTCTCTCTTTTAAGAAAAATTACATATTCAGACGAATGAGCCCAATAGCCTATTTTATTGACAGGATTAGTGGCAATAAACTTCCAGCAGCTTCTTTTTTTCTGGATGTTTTCTAACGCTCCGTTCAGTGTTTGCTCAGGTTATCTATGTTTGAATTAGTTCCTGTCAAACAAGCCTGATTTAGGCAATAGCAGATATAACCTATGGGAACTGCTTGGCAGTACAAAAGAATGGTGATACAAGTTTGAACATCAGCAGTGTCCTGGCATGTTAAATAAGTAAAAGGTTCTGTTTAACTCAAGTTTAAGATTTTTGACTGTGTTTGCAGTTGCAGGCAAAATCCAGTCACACTTATATCTAACACTGAGAGCAAGAGCAGTGTTTGGTAAAATCTTTGACCCAATATTTTCTGCCCGTCGAGCTCACAAGTATTCAGTCCCCTACTCCTCCTAAGGACAACATTATTATGAAGGCCAAGAGCTGAATCAAAAAAAATACAAATATAAGTAGAAATTATATAGTAAGTAGACAGTTTTCTCAGACTGGAAAGGCTTGAGGACAAGGGAAGTGAAGCATTTTTGAGCCTTTACTTGAAGCTACTGTTTTTCAGGCTCTCTGGAACATCTGTTTTGTGACTGACTCTGGAGACCCCAGTTGTAACAGTTTTTTTCTTCCAACAAAAAATCTCAGTGGGTTAACCAGTAGCGACAATTTCAGTGCAGAAATAAAAACTGTTTGCTAAGGTGGATGAACTGTGCCTTGTCTGTTGGTTTAGCTACTGATTTCAGGACAGAAGGCCTGCAACTAATATTTTGAACCTTTCAGTCTTTTAAGTTACTTCTGTATGAACTAATATAATTAATTCTCATTTTAAGCTGATGCAAAATCTGCCTTGGCAACACTGTAACACAGTGGCCATCTAAATAGTGAGTGAAAACATAGCTAAAAAGAGTCAAAGCCCAGTAACATCTGCAGTACATTAAGAAAGATTTTGGAGCTCTAACACATGACTCATGTGCCCAGCATCCTTGCAGAATATCTTTTACTGCAGCCTGGTTTTGCTCTGGTCTTTCTCAGAGTTGGCTTGAAGGGCAATGACCACATTAATTGACACAACAGAATGGGCATAGGAGGGAGAAATGTTTACAATCTCAAATCACTATTTTCTATGTAAATTTTTGCATAAAATGCCTCTAGATTAATGTCTGGCTCATTTAATAAATGTTTCTTATTTTACAAAGGCAACTATAACTCAGTTGTAGAATTACAGAAGTCTGGCTGAAAAGAAAATTTCTAGCTACAAAATATTTTGAGGTTAAAGCAAATAATTTCTTGTGACTGTGTAGCAATCCTGATAAAAAGCTTTCTCTGCCTGCTGACACTATTAAAAGGCAAGCCAAATCAGAGCCCCTGAACTCTGAATTTCATTCCATCATTTGAATATAGACAATTTCATTTTCCAGTAGACAATACTGAAATATTAGATGAGTCAAATAATGACACACCCCCAATAAAGTTTTGATGAAAAATTAGAGATTCATCCTATAACTTGCCATAGAAACCAGATAAACCAGGCTGAAATACAGTTTAATCAGAAAAGTATTCCATTAGTTCGCTTGCAGTCTTCAAGTTACTGTCCAATTTTCTTTCTGTCTATATCCGTAATCATATATCCTTACTACCCAGAAGAATCTAATTTCAGAGAAACCATGTGTATGCAGTCCCTCTCATTTATATGTGGCATATTGGTCTATCTATTCACATCCCATTTAAAGACTCAGTTCATCTATGCTGCCCCGAGACAGTGAGGGGCAATAACAAAGGGTAGATATTATTCTGTCCCTACTGAGTAAAATCCTACTCTGTGCCTGTCCTACAGGAAATAATACCCAAAGAAACCAAAAGAAAAAAAACAGAAAGGGGAAAAAAAAAAAAAAAAAAAAAAGAGAAAGAAACAAAGGGTTTCCCTTCTCTTCTTTTTTTTTTTTTTTTTTTTTTTTTTGTAATTCTCATTAAATAGTATCTTTTCATATCCTCACTTGGCTTCCACACCTCTGGTTTGAAAGTATTTAGCAAGTGGTATGTCTGTCATTACCTACTCTGTGTGACCTAGGAGTTTTAGTAAAATTGAAACTCAGAAGGCTTCATAAATGTGGGACAGGGCTGACACTGTTAGCAGTATTACCAGACCTAGCACATTGCTGGTAATAACAATATTATTGCTGCTAATAACAAATAATAGCAATAATGACAAGGGATGACTGATTTGAACACAACTCTATGTCCTGGATATTATGGACATCTAATGTAGTAGTTTGTGTAGCTGTTAGGAGACTAGTAACAGTCCAGTAAATTTACTATACTGTTTCTCTCAGTGAAAAAGGGTACATACAGACACATAGCTAAAAAAAAAAAAAAATTGTTAGTCAGCATAACCTGATGTGGCACGAAAGCAGCGTTTTCTATTAAAACACTAACTTAATTATAGAGATAGTAAACAAGTGTGTTTGGTATGTACTGAATATTATTAAAGAAAAATACAACAAAAATTGGAATAGTACTTCCTGAGAACCAGAAAGATGCATTTCATATTTTCTAGTATGTATCTTTTCTTAGCTGTTGATCTGGGGACTGATTAAAGCCTGGTCATTAGCACTGGACAGTAATTCCTTGGGGTGAGCCAAATCAAGATTCTCTGTCCTCCTGTGCCTCTTACTCCCTGTGCCTCGTGCATACTGCTTTCTATTCAGGGGTCTTTCTTGGAGACCAGCTATGGAGAAGGTGTGAAGATTAATTCCTGGAAGGATTTAGGTAGGCCATCAGAGCATGAACATTTATCTAAATAGTAATAATAATAGCTTTGTTATTATTGTTTGATGATTGCAATAATATTGCAAAATGAAAGTAGAATCTTGATTCTAACCTCTACCTCCCTGGGACTAAACTAAAGAGAAGACTTTTACCATTGTTGCAGTGAAAAATCTCTCAGCACCAACTCAATTTGGGTAAGAAAAGAGGGTAAAAGCATAAATGGGGTTGATTTCCTTAAACAGTTTAGCACACTGCTGATCGCATAAGTTTAAGAAAATAGCCAACCAATATTCAAGTAGGTAACAAACCCACCTTTGTGAAATGTGATTTTCTTTGTATAGCACAGAAATAATTCCATCCATAAAACATTTACAAGAGATATGAGACTATAAAGGATCTCCTGAATCTTTGAATCCAGACCTTGCTATTATGTGAATACATGAGTAAAAAATATGTTAGTAATGTAACCTGTATATCTTCTGCATGAACACATGACGTTTCATCTTAAAATTAGCATTACTTTTCCTGTGGTCTGTTCCAGGATTCTGCTTTATTGAAGGTTAGATACAATCATACCTTTAAATGTTTGTCACACTGAACATTTTTAATGTATTTTTATATGTTTTTGAACACAGAAAAAACCCCAAACACAATGTAACCATGACACAAAAGAACTATTATGTCCATTAGAAAAGACATTTAT